CTACAGAACAGAAGAGGTTTGATGTGTCATAGTAATAATGGCCATGAAAACAGTCACCCTGGATTGAGTGCTTACCATACGCCACACTCAGTGTTGGTGCTTTATGCTCTTGATCTGCTTTATGAAACTTTATCCCATCAGAAAGCTTCCTCATTGTGTTGTAAACAGAAAAGAATATGCTTTGAAGCACACGATTGTGAGAAATGGCTGTTTCGTTCAGGAATCACTCCACAAATTTCCTAATTTCATGGACCTTTGAATTTTCTCCTTTACTTATTCACAAACACTTTGGCCTGCCTCCCGTTCCTCTCAACTCCCTTCTGATTTCCTCTCCCTCATTCCCACTAATGGGATAGTCTGATCCACAGGATCACAAGGTTAGAAGAGAAACATTTATTTCACTTTTACACTAATATGAGGGCGTTTCAGGAAGCCTCCTTCCTAAATGAAGCGTTCAGCCCCTGCATGGTGTTTACATAGATACATTTTTTTGAAATGAGAGACTCTAGGAGAGAGAGTCATGCAAGTTATTTTTAGTTGAAACATTTCTGTCAGCTGTAAACATGTTTGGAACTCAAGCTGGTCTTTGCCATCCTGGTAGTCTGGGTACACTCTCTAAAGGCTACAATAGGCTGGCCAACTATCTTTAAAACATGTCCACCTGTCACCTTTCATGGGAAGCATGCCTTCTTAAGTACCAGATGGTATTTTGGCTGCTAGGGAGTTGAAACATTGTCTATATTAGAGAGATCTCACCCTTTGAAACTTTTACCTTCTCGTGTTTTTTCCCTCCAGGCAAGGTCACTGATGAAGGCTTTTTACTTTCACACCCTTCTCATTTGACTTTAAATTGATTCTTCACAGTTGTCATCTTTCCCTTCATAGCACAGATCTGTATGCGGTTTGCATGCACCAAGTGTTGGTTCGGCCATTAATTATCTGTGCAACCCTGGGCTTTCTACGTGTTCTCATCTCTCTGGGTTTGTTTCCCTTCTGAAAGTGAGCAGGACCGAGCACCTGCCATGGTCCTTTGCAGATTTGGTGGTGTTCTGTCCACCGCGGCCCACGCCCCTGAGGACTCCAGTCCCAGCCTTGTCAGTGTATGACTTGAGGGCAACCTGCTTAAATCACTCAATGCATCCGCAGTCCCACATTTTAAATAGTGCAAAGTATCCTGTTCCATTCCCTGCCATGGAAAATGGTGTGACAATTAATGAGGGAAAATGTTTGCAAAGCAAGCACTTGGGAGCCCCTTAAAGGAAAGTGCTCTCAGTAATTATTAAGGTGCTGCGTTGGTGGAGCACAGGCATTCCAGGACTGTCTTACTAAATGGGGTGTATTTTCAGGGTAGTCAGGTGTCCACAACTTTTATTTCTATGTTTGCATTTGAAACAATATGACTCAGTAGAAACACTGTTAATATTTTTCTTTCCTGTTTCCCCCCCCCCTGCATATTACCTATAGCGACCCCCAAAGGGCTTTCAGAATTACACATGGCATGATGTGGTCTGCGGACTCTTGCTCTCCGTGAAGAGAAGATGAGGGTAGTGGATGGTTTTCTAGGTGTGAACTTATGGCCAGAAACGGCAAGCCCAGTTCGTTAGATTCAAAGCAAAAAAGCCCACAAAGTACAAAACAGACACTAGAATTTTAATGTGAGGGGGAAGCTCATATAAGCCCCTTAGCTTTAAAATGATCCGTTTTGGGGCTAATCAGATGCAGGAGTCAGATATGAATTCAATTTCCTTGGCTGAGTGACTTGGGCATGTTACTTAACCTCTCTAAGCCTCAGTTTCCTTATCTGTAACTTGAGAATAATACAGTAAATACCTGTCTTGTGAAGGCATTTTGAAAATTAACGAGATAAGGCACTTAGCACAGAGTATGTGACCATTTTAAGAAAAACTCAACCGTTCCCTTCGGCACAAAGGAACTGACGATAAATGAAACCAAGGGAGAAATGACTGGTGTGGTGTGGGGAAGCCAACCCAGGATTTGAAAAACAGTAGTTTCAGATGATCGATATAGCCGCTATGTAATTCAGAGATAAGGGTATATAGACTGCTCCCAGTTGTATATGCTAATGGAAGAAGTGGTGCCATGAATAAAATGTCAGCAAATGGCACTGAGGATTTCTTAGCAACAACTGAGCTCTGGGGATGGAGAAAGCAGACAGCACGTGAGGAATCTAGGGGGGCAGTGTCCTTTACTGTTCCAAGGGTGGGGGAGTAGTGGACGCATACACTTTCCTCCATCTTTTGGCTCATGCTCTCTAAAGAGCCGCTTTTCAGCTCCTTCTCCTGTGCCAGCGCTACCGTGACGGACAAGTGTGTGGGGGGAGGTTAATAGATGCAGAGAGTCTGCCCGAAGTTCAAGTAAAATACATCCTAATGGGCTAAGCCATCCCGATTCTGAAAGGTGACCTCTGTCCTGGGGGCTCAGCAGGAGCCCACTAATCCTGCTGATTCTTTCTCATTCTACCCAGGCTTTTCCTGGGTTGCTGGAAGGACACTGAATGCTGTTACCAGGATGTTTTCTGAGCACTGTTTCCACCTCTCTCCCCCAGTTTCTAGGTTTCTCCATCATCCGCTCTAGCACAACACCGTCCTCAGGCGAGGGCCCAGAAGACCCAGCCTGGGCGCGGTGAGGGCAGGCATCTCGGAGGGAAGAGGGGGTGTGGCCTGCGGAAGGTGGCTAAGGGCAAGGAAAACAGAAGGGGTCCCTGAAATCGCAGGTGCTCTGAATGGGGAAAATCAAGATTGGAACAGAAAGTGGGAAACGCTCAGTGAC